TAATACTTTTGCGAGACAGTCGCACGAAGTGCATGAGACCACGAGACCCGTATGCACTTCCGCTATACGCAGCTGCCTGAACCACCTCACCAAAAACAGGGGCGGGTACAAGTTGTGCTTCTATTCCAAATTATTCTGGGGTCCAATGCGTCAGAAAAGTCGTCACCCAGGCCGTTTTGATGTGAGGTTCGGACCCAGACAGTCTTGCTGCATGTTTGAGGCGCCAAAAGTTGTAGGTTGGTTGCCAAATGCGGTTGGCGCGGGATCGGTGCTTGAGGGACTCACCGCATCGAGCGACGTGTCTTCGATTCTAACATTGTTACACTACATGTGAGCATGGATCAACCTGGCAAGTCGGTCGTCCGCCGACATTTAATTATTGCCACAGTATAGATGATCGGTTTTGGTCCTTCAAACGAGACAAACTCAACTCCGTGATTGCTTGTTTTGAATTCATTGCAGTTGCCGTCCCGAACGCCGATCTGGGCATATTTCTTTTGCTCATGTTCCCTTCGTGCTGGTTTCAGTGGTCCCTTATAGTGTGGTTTAGAGACTTTTTTGTTTAAGGAAGAATCTGTATTATTTATGTCGCGAGAATAACACTAGCAGTCTTGTCCGCTGCAACTTAGTCTTATCACTCTTTTAAAGTCTCTAATCTACCATTATTTAAGGCATCTACCCTCCAGCTCGTCGGTTGTTCGGCGCAAGGCTAGCATGTTGTAGATATTGTATGTAGTCAGTGACACACTGGAATGATGTTGAAATTGCTATCGTTTTGCGTTTGTCAATACAAGACCTCATGTTTACCGAAGCAACTGATGTGGTGTCTTCCAAAACCATCCTCTGTCTTGCATGATATCTCCTGTTCCCTGCCTATCAATTAAGGTGGATACAGAGTTTAGGAACGCAAGCGTGATCTGCACGCTTCGTAAGCTTTACGCAGCCAATCAGTAACTGACTTTCATCACGCTGGGGGTGAAAATCACGCGTTTTGCGTTTCCTGAACTCTGTATCCACACTAACAAACACTCTGTGTACCCCTTTCCCCTCTGGCATTCCGTGTATTTTTGTTTGTAGTGCTTAATTGTTACTTCCTTGTTTTCGTCAAGTGTGAGTTTGTTTTGAAAACTAGGATAGATTGTACGATTTTAATGTAAATTTTAGTTCTTACAGGTTGTGTTATGAATTTAAAGGCTTTTCTTCTTCGTGGTGGCGCTATGTCTTATCCCATGATCTTATTTTGGGACAGTGAAAATTTTGATAGGATTCCTTTACTGTTTACAATGGCTCCATACACCTTACATAATAGTAAACCATTTTTAGGTGTTTTAGCCTTATTTTGTGAATGATAATTTTTGTAATTATGCCCTCGAAACTTGAATACCGCAGATGCTATTGTTTCGACAACGTGACGCTCGTGCATTTATAGGGCCTGCACGTGTCATGCAATAAGTGCTAGTTCATTTAGTGATAGAAATGCCTCTAGACATCAAAATACTCGCCGAAATAGTTTTATCTACCTTTCTTCATGAGCGATCGGTGCCCTTGGGGGGGCGTGTAGCTTGGTCACCCGGACTTAACCTGTAACATGCAGGGTGGGTGATCCGCGACGTCTTTTTTTTCTGCGTATTCTGTACCGGATTCATGCGTGCTGAAGGGTTGCATACTCGTACGCGGCCGAAAGGCGGAGCAACGAAAGACAAGCCCGCAGGCAAACATGAATCTTGTCCAGTATAAGAAGAAAAAAAAGACGACGTCGGTCACCCACCCTGAAGACTGCACATGCTGCCGTTCGTGCACATGCCATGTACAATGTAAAAGACATGTACGTAGACGCGCACACACGCTGGCTAATGGCTAGCCAGTGGAGCCATGCCGGGCTGCGCGGTCATACGCCGTGCGCCGCAGAGATACCGAAGTACCCCGTCCTCCCCACGGCGCATGTTTGCGACCGGATTTAGCATCTTCTCTAGGGCGCCCTCCTCTCATGCTTCCTCGAAATGCCAGAAGTGCAAAAGCTTGTACTCTTTTTTCCTTACGGACTCGCTCCAGAGCATTTTCTGCGAACGTAATATAGATAAAAAGACATCTGTAATATGAATAAAACTGTCCGTATTATAGATAATTTGATCCATATTACAAACCTGTATTTGTCCGTAAGGTAAATATGGTTCGTCCATACCTTATGAATGAACGCATGTTTTTAATACTGATCAAATTACCCATAATACGGACAATTCCATACGTATTAATTACGGATGATTTGTGATCCATATTACGTTTGCACAAAATTCTCCGTGACATAATACTGGACATACCCAAGGAAACAAGAGTGTACGATAAAGACAATAATCCCATCTACACTAGTGCATGGAATGCACTCATGATTTGAGGTGAAAATATCTTAGCACTCTTCCTTTTTCCGAGCCTAGATGTTAAAAATGCACATATGTAGTACAGAACAGAAGGTCTCTTTCGCTACCTGCACTGATAAAACAAATATGGGTCTCGGTTTTATCGGGTTTTTATGCCTTCACAGAGGCTTTTAAAACTAGCACCCCTGGAAAAGCATTACAAATTAGCATCCCTACAAAGTTATTAAATCTGTCCAAAGGTATTGAAATGTAATGGATTTGGTCACTTGCAAAAGCATTAAAATTTAACACCCCTATACACTTATAAACAAAGGTGCTTCATAACACATTTCAAAGGTGCCCCTGCAATAGTGCCTTTCTAGAGGCGCTAAAACTGCCGAAAATATTACCTTCTAAGGCCAGTAGCATCTTTGTAACTGCACAACTAGCGCCTTTAAAAAGGCATCAAAAAGACCCTTTGTTTTTTCCAGTAGTGTAGCGCCTGAAACGCGCTGGGTTGGCCAACTCGCCAGCTTTGTGTGGGTGGCGGGCCATAGGTACTTGGGCACGGTAGGACTGAAAATCCGTTTCTGCGCCCAACGTTTCTAGGCGTTTGCTCGGGGATTAGCGTTCACTGTGGGATCACGTTATAAGCTTCCTCTGTAGGCTAGTGATGGTATCTAATAGGTGTGGCTATCGCTTCGCTTGCCAATCGCCTAGGCATGGGAGCCACGGAAGGCACCAACCCCAGCGCTGCTCCTACATCAGCCCTGCCTCGTCGGCCGCCTCCGTCTCATGACATTAGCGTTGATGATGAGCCTGAGTTTGACGTTCGAGAGCACGACTGGAGGTTCAACCTGCAGCATAGCGGTTAGTCGGTGAAACAGCGCGCACATCCGGGAGTAATTTGTTTCCGCGCATTTTATGGGCATTTCCATTTCAGTAGCGTATCAACAGAAGCGACTTACTCTCGGATGGTTGGGGCTTCCAAAGACGAAGTTGCAGTGTTACATTGATTAACATTTTGCTTTAAATGGCAAGACGTAACTACTAATGCAGTCTTTTGTTGGCGTGCCCATTGCGTGGCTGTGAAACATTTGTTTCTTATCCAGTTTGGTCCCATTTAGTACTTTCAGGCTAGGTCCTTGGTAATTCGGGTCGGGGTATAATAAAGTATACACAATGTTTTTCTTGGAATACAAGGTTGCTTCGTTAATTTCAAGGACGGGTGGATAATTTCAAGACCCATCGACCCTTGAAATCCCAGAATCTGCCTTGAAACCATCTGTTCCATGGGGAAGCCTTGGAATTTACGTCTGTTAATCCAAGGCAACCCCTTGCGTATCAGACCACAGCTCCAAGGCGCTTCCTCGGAAGCAGGTGGTTTCAAGGCAGATTCTAGGATTCCAAGGGTCGATCTTGAAATTGTCCACCCGTCCTTGAAATTCACGAAATAACCTTGTGATCCAAGAAAAACTTTTTACCGTGTATAAATACGCACATTCCTGTGTTTATGGCTCCCCGTATTGTCTATTCGAGTTAGTTTAATCCCGAGTTCCAAGGAAACTAGTTGTATTTTTTCGATTTAATTCATTTAATTATTTAACGTCGAATTCTTTGGTCAAATTGTCGCTCTTCTGTAGACGAATCCTTTATTGCATGAAAGCTAAGCTTAGAGTGCGGCTGAATTTTTGTATGTGCTCTTCTGTGGTAACTAACAACTGCATGGTCTCGCCTTACTGTATTCTTGCAGATATATTTGGAAATAGTGTTGCGTTCGGCTGCCTGCCCAATTTTTCATTAACGCTTGTCACAGAATAAATGCCTTGTGACTGTTAGCTAGAGCGTCACAACACGTTCTTAATAATAAATTTTTCCAACATTTGTCAAGTGCGTGTTTTTAAGTAACGAAGATTTCGCCACTCATGCGATAATGTTTGCCACTGCCGGTTAAGTTATCGCCAAGTTATCATTGGTGGTCTTAGATCCGGGCCGGACAATCCCTCGTGGGTTGCCTACATAGTTGTGCTTGTTGCCTACTTGCGACTAAGCGTGGAAGGTCGTAGCATCACTCTCTCTTCCCACCCACCTGCCCCTAAAACCATCACTTGTAAACGATTTTATAACTCCAAATTTTCGATTTTGGTTTTCATCGCTATCTATAGCATTTATGAGCAATTCATTTCGTATTTCTAATATAAATATCAGATCTTTTGTCAATGCACTAACATAGCTTTCTATCCCTCGCCATTACTTTATTTTCCATTTTTATTTTCAGTTCATGTTTTGTTATTCATTCATAATATGAGTTTCAGCTTCCAGCAATTCTGGACCGAGTTCAGCCATTTCTGCAGTGTGCCTTGTTTCTTGAAGTTGTTAGATGTGCGTGTGTCTGTAAATGGTAGCAATTTGTGGTAATTTGCACGGTTTGGTTTTCTTTTTCTTTTTTAATTTTATTCTTTTTTTTGGTATGTTGAGTTAATGTCTTGTATGAACTAGGACTTTTAACATAGAACAACCTAACAGTCGTCATTTGTTAGTTACGTACTAAATTTCAAAAAAGACGCAATAAATTCTTTCGAAATGTAAATAAAAAATAAATTTTTGCATTATGGAAGTAGACACATATTCTCTCCCATCTGGAAACGGGATTTGACCTGATTTTCAGAAAAACTAGGGACAAATGCCCTTACTGAATTGGACCTTGTCTATATGATACCTTCTGTTCTGTTTGTAGCCGAGGCTCCGGAAGAAGAGGAAGTGAGTTCTGCTGAAGAAAAGCAGTGAGCATCAGTACAACTCTCCCTCTGCCCGCCGGCATCTTTAGGAAGTGCTCCCAAATTTGGCCCATTTGGGTCCACTGACGCGAGATGTTCGGCCAGGAAAGTGCAGCAGCTCGATTCCAAGCATTTTCAACTATCAGCGACCTTGAAAAAAAAAAAACCGTAGTGTATAATGCTGTCTTGAGCTGTAGCAGCTAGCTGGGTACATTGACCAACTCTCGATATAGTGACTGGTTACCTGACCAGCAGAAAATAAATCTTCGGAAAACCGTACATTCTTGTACCAGACTGCCCTCGTTCCCCGCACGGAGCTGAAGGCATAAAAAATTCTTTTTTCTCGTCATTTTTTTCCACTGGTTACAATAGAATTTTGAAAACGGGATTTAGTCTGTTGTTAAAGCTAAACACACTTAATTCTTTCTCCTTATCAAAGAGACATTTCTTGTGGAATCATTTAGTGCTCCATCGAAGAAATATGCCTTGTGTATGTATTTCTAACCAAATCAACTGTATAAACATCGATACATATGTCATAATTGATCTTGTTGCTGGTAGTTGTGTAAAGTCTTTGCTGCTCTTGCAATAACTTGTTTTATAAACACTTTTCAAATTATTACTTTGTTACTAGATTGAAAACTCAATCAAAATCCAGCAGCAAGTACTTATTTAAATTATTTAATAAGCTAATAGAAAAATATTGTAAAAAAGTTCTTCTTTTGTTTCAAATGTAATGACAGATACTTTCAAAAGGAAAAATCAGATTAGGATTAGAAAAGTGCATGACAATTTAAAATTGCAAATGTTATAGAAAAATGCTGCCCTAAGCAGGCTTTTTTGTTGTTGTTGTCCAAAACACGCCTCTCCCTTAGCAAATGATAGCTTTCTAAATGTATTTTTGTGGATCCTTTCTGGATGTCAGTGGAGGGTTTATGCGAAGTGAAGTAGAAAGGCGTGTACGTAGGCTTTCTTAAGCCTGGTTTTAGTCTTCATATAGATCAAGGTTGCTTTTTTATGTATGTGATTCAACGATGGATTAGTACAGAAACTTTGTAGTGTGGTGGAGAATAATGGAGGACATGCTCTACGTTTGAATGCGAGTAAATGTATGATGTGTTGTTTACCCAACCGAAACTTTATGTGGTATCTTCGGTCGGTGAAGTGCATTATATTTTGTTCTACAGCAAAAAAACTTTTAATTATATGAAACATGTGTATTTGATCTATGCTTTAACACTACTCTTCGATAAAAAATAAAATTTTGAGTATCTGAGCTCTATTTGCTTACTGTCACTTGCCGTTTCTTCCCGCACCGGCCGCCGAACGAACACATCATATCTAGCAAATAACACTCTCACTAGGCCTACCCCTGACGTGTGGTGGCGACTCCATGCGGCCCGGCACTACCTACCGCGCCCCAGCTGGGCCTCCTGAACCTGGCCGGCCGGCGGCGCCCAATGAGTCTTTACCACGCCACGCACCGCCGCTGGACGCTCGGGCTGGTGTGTTGCTCGCGAGCAGGACGACCGAGAGAGGACTTCCCTACAAGTCACCGCCGTACGCGCCACAGCGCGAATCAGTCGTGCGGTGTGATTCACGAGAGGTAAATGTCGTTAAGGTGGTGGTGGAAGACACTGCACTAAAAAAAAAAGTGACTAATTTGCTTCGTTGCATAGCAGCCAAGGAACGTCTTAGCTATCTGGACTAAGCTCACTAAAGTACATTAGATGGATCGACCACAAAATTGGTTCTGATTTCGATACATTGTCGACTACGATATCGAAACATTATCGGTACGATATAGTCATTGCGCACTGGGGTGGGCGCTTAAAAAATTAAAAAAAAAACAACATTTAAAATACTATTTTTTTCCTTTTTGGCCCACAGCTTGTTATCATTGTCTACAATCTAGGCGGCTTGGAAGCCTTTGTTCGAAATTCACACTGACTGTGGTGGGTGTTGATCGTTGGGACTGCAGGCGAGCGCGGAGGCACGGAGCTACGCCAGTGCGATGACGGTGGGGAGAAACCGAATCAGTCTGATGCTCACGTCACCTATTTTCACGCGTTAGTCCACGTGGATGAAACTTTTTCTCGGGCGGCCAAGATCGTGAGGTACTATAAACAAACCCTTATTAGTCCGAACAAATATCAAAAATAAGTTGTGTCAACCAAGTGTTTGCTAACTTAACCATTTCAATTTTTTGGAGACCCGTGAGATGCGTTGACTAACGCGTGTCAGCTACGTAGACAAATAAATATTCGCTCGGGCAGCTCTAATTAGCTATCTCAGGACAACGGATCTTATTTCTCGCGACTGACATTTTCTTTAACTCATCAAACATTTTAGATAAATGAACTGAAAATTTAGCTGGCTGCTATGCAATGAACACGTGAGTTCTCTCAACTAATATTCAGTTGAGTCAACTAAAGTAGTTTTTCCCGTAATGGAAGTACAGTTTTAAGCAGCATTTTAAAAGTACACATACCAAATTTATAGTAATGGCCGTATTCAACAGCTTCCATGACCCTAGGCAAAAATTATTGAATCATTACAGCACAGTTGATTTACACCGTCTCAATCAAGTTGAAAATCAGGGTGGTTTGTTTACCTCGCTCATTGCTAAATGTAATCGTATTTTTGGAGCAAACATACGTGCTAAGTTAAACTAGCGTTTGATTCTAAATTTGTCCGCAATAGTGCAAGGTTTTGTGCATATGAATGCCCAAAAGTATTCAAATCATCGCAGAAATTTGTGCAAAAAATGGATTGATTATTAAATTCATACAATTAAAAGATACAAATCCACTTACTGAGCATAGCATATTATCTTTGATCGTGGATTTAACCGTGGGGTTGCTAGTGCTTTGCGGATGCAGGTGTGTGGTGGCCAGTTTGCATACTGACACGAGTCCATTAGGTGCCGCCGTGGTGGGGAGGGGGAAGAGAGGGGATGGAGGGGAAGACCACACGGTGGTTCAATAAGTTTAAACGACAAGTACTAAGGTGCCTCTGCTCTCCTTTCCCTGACGGTGTGGTCCGCTAGCGCAGTGGCGCCACCGTGCAGCTCACCACAGCGTAAGTTTACCCCCCTTCCTTTCATACTTCACTTGAAGAGCAGCGGTAC